TTTTATACCGGACCGCGATATTTGTTCAGGATTCTGCAGAGCGCTTAATCAAACATGAGAGAGAAAGAGAGAGAGAGCCCATTTCCTGTGAGATGCATGTCTACATGTATTAAATGCATCCATTTATTACAGTTTGTTAAGATTGTTATCATTATTATCCTCTGAGGGACAGACATTTCTCTCGTTGGTATGTATATACAAAGAGCACATATCATTTGCATCGTATGACTAAGAATACAAAATAATAATATAAAATATACTGCCTTTGTTTCCTTTGATTACTAGCATACATGCAGACTAACTAAATTACCCAAGTCATGTGCAGAAGCTTTGGTTTGCTTGATTAAAAACATTAACACATTCATATATTATTGTTCCATTACAAACAAGATGTGTTTTCAGAGACTACCTCGCAATATACCGTAGATCCAATATTACGCAGGTTTTTTTAACATGCTGTCTTGAGCACACTTAAACCCGGAGAATCTGAAAACTCCCCTTTAGTTCAGCTGTCGCCAGGTCATCGTTATTACGGATGAAAATCACACGAATGTGCAAAAACGGTTCCGGAATCTTCGTTTCCTCTTTTGAGATGGCTGTGCGTCTGTCACCTTGAAATCAGTGTCGTTCTGCAAACGTACTTACTCATCCCGAAAGTAGCGTTGCCCTCACGCGGTACACGAGGTGGGGCCCGGGGAAACTGCTTTGAAGAGCCACATCCGGGGGCGTGTGAATGAGGAAGGAACCCTAGCGCTGACCCCTACACTCAGGGGACGTCGGTGTGCTAGAAGGCCCTGGAACGATGCACTTTCATTTTCTCAGACACAGGGGATGCCCTGTCCTGCAGGTCACATACAGTTGCTTCATTTTGGACAGTCCCTATCGGGCATGGTGACCTGGAACTACGCCGGTGATGAAGGATCTTGGGAAATCGGCACTGTGTATTGTGAAGAGAGGCTTCAGAACGGGCTGGCCCATATACTCAAGATGGAAATGGGCCTGTAGCAGTTAGGGGAAGAGTATTATCAAGGAGGGATGTTAGGCACAGGCCCCTAGAGGCTCTGAATCAAACACAGCACAGTTCGTTTCATTTTCCCTTGCAGTGCCGACATGTTTACCAACACTCACTTCTCCATTTAAGCTTCCTTGACCTCATTTCCTGTCCCTCCCAGTGAACGTACGGTCGCCCTATTTTGAACGGCTCTATTTAAGGAACTCAACGGTGGGGGGTGTTACTTAACAGTTCATTCTTTCCTCTTTTCTTCCTATCTCAATTACTTGTGCCCAGCACTGTATTACAAAAATGCACATCCGTAAGATGAAGACAGCGAGCGTGAGCGAAGACAGAAAGGCCATCAAACGCATCTCTGTAGTCTCTGTGGCCCAACATTCAGCAAAATGTCCTGCTCTGAGGGGTGTAGTGACACAAACGGGATGTGGATATATTTAACGGACAGCCAAGCAGCTGAAGTGAACGACACTTGTGTCCACCTGATGGTGCTTCTCCATCTGCTGGCTTCTGTTTATCTTAATATAAGAACATAAGAAATATCCTGATGTGTACAGGACACCCATCAGATCGTCTTGGCTGTGTGGAAACTGTACTGTTAAGATGTTAGTTACTGTTGCTTTAAATTAATATAAATCTTGTTTCCTTGGATGCTACCCAGCAAGATGTTCCAAACCTTTCCTACCCTTTGCACAAGGAAAGTCTGGAGGTCCATTAGGGTCAGGGTTTTTTGAGCAAGACAGAAGAAATACAACCTTGCGGGCCAAACTTTGTGAGCTCGATGCAGGAAACACACACACATACATCACAAGAGTCACGTTCGGGTGCTTTCAAGAAACACTGCAGTCTGTGCTTCTTCAGACTTTGATTTCATCCTCTTCGGGGTCGGGACATGGGCTTCTCCTCTGGGTGGGCTGGCCAGAGCCCGTATAAGGACTGAAGTCCCGCCCATTGGGGGGGGAGGGCCTTTTTAAGACCCCGCCTCCCCCGTAATGGCGTGATAACACATCAGCCGCCTTCAGAAACCGTTCCGCCTCCATTCCCGGCTCCACTTTTCCGGGGGACTTCACCGCCGTGCCTGGAGATTCCGGTTTTGGCAAGTCCCCGTTTTCCCCTTCCTCCCATTCTTGGTCTGACCGCTCCCTGCCATTTAGCTCCACCCCCTGTGGGGAATCCGCAACGGCATTGGTGGATAAATGGGTAGCGTCACAGCTATTGGCCGGCCCTTCTCCCTCCCACCAGAGGCCCGCCTCCCTGATGCCGTCAGGGCTGTCAATTATGCCAAACACTTCGCTCATCAGTGAGGGGCCAAGGTCCACGGTGAACGAGATCAGGGAGTCCGACCGCACCAGAGAGTCGGCGGTGTAGTCGGAGGGCGACTCGTGCCACGGTTCCGGGGAGCGGTGGGTGGGACTATCCTGCAGCTGGCCGTCAATGCGTGAGAGGCGGGGCAGCGTGGCAAAACCGGAATCCACACCTGTGGACAGACAGGAGCCAGCAAGCACAGTCCGTCAATTAGTTAGTTTGCCCAGAGGACTTGCTGATAATCCTCATACGCCCATGAAAAACAACTCACGCGAGATCTCAGCCTCTCTTTGAACTTGATTTACTGGTGCATGCAAAAAAACTGAGGACTTACTAATAATTAACTCCTGTTAAATAAACAAACAAGTAAATCAAAACAGAATTTCTTCTTTGTCTTTATACAATTCACTAAATGTAATCATCAGCCATAGGAAGCCACAGAATGACGGGGGGGGGGGGGGGGTATTTAAATTTTCATAGTGAAAAACTGCCCACTACTGCCCACAATACTCCATGATACTTTAATGAGTATTGGCGGCTGGATCAGAGCAGACCTCTCTCACCAAGGCCAGGGGCTCTAGGCTATACTGGGGGGTCCTCAGATGTTACCTAGCCAGCTGTGAGATGTAATCCCTCTTGGTGTCTGCCTGGGGCCCCCCCAGTAACCCCCCCCTGAACGACTTCCCTTCAAAGCCAAAAAGGCTGAATCCTTATAAAATGCCCAAACCACCTGAGCTGATTCCTCTCAACAGGAAGGAGCAGAAGCTTTATAAACATATACAATAACATGCATGATATATATGTGCATTTTGAAAGTAAAGATTTAAGGCAGTAGGGGGTGCTGTCGATCTGCCCAGTGCAGGCCAGGCGGGTTCTAAATTACCTATAGCTCAACTATTTCGCCAGTAAGTTGCCTTGCCTGTTTTTTTTTTGGCTGTTACAGACCTTTGAATCCATCACAGAGGCACCCCCTCCTCAGCCAGCAGGTGGCAGCGCTGAGCCAGACGTCAGTCATCAGCCTTTAGGTGTGCGTCTCGCTACCCCCCCCCCCACATACCTCTGTGCTATGACCTCATCGCCTCTGAATGCAGGATCAGGCTCCCTGGCATAATG